TTGTCCAAATCGGCCATATTACACGGAACGCTAAGAAAATTTAAAAAAATCATTAACTTGTGAAGTAAAAGATAGATGAAAATAAAAATATGCATTAAATGATTGTGATTATTTTAATGAATAAAATCCACTTTCTTTTGGTCTTTGATAATTCTTCAATGGCAAGGTATTCGAACCTCCCCATTTTTTTTCCGCGTTCCGTTTCTTTAGTGAGTCACTGTAGAACGATTTTTTGATTACATGGTTAAGCCTATACATAAATGAATAGGAAATTTTTTATTATAACAATCCTTTTCTTAAATTCATATCAAATTAAAATTATATTGCAAGTAGTTCGAATATTTCCTCATATTTTAAGTAAACAAACCATTTCGCTTTTTATTACACAAAACGTTTCCTCAGATTTTAATTAAACAAAATGTTTCCTCATAAGTATTTGTGGAGAGGCCTGATAATGACACATGGATAGGTATATGATCCTATTTTCTCATTGAATAAATATCGTTGGTCAACAAATTATCGTTTTTTTAATTTAATTTTTATAGTAATAATGCATATACATGCAGGTTTATTGATTGAAATTATCGTTTTTTTAATTTAATTTTTATAGTAATAATGCATATACATGCAGGTTTATTGATTGAAAATGTTCATATAGGTCAAAACATAAAAGATCATTCGCTCTTCGAGAAATAACGCAAATCTTTAGATCGTTCTGTTCGCTTAAATGATACAACATCAATTACTGAAAACAATTATACTATCCATCTCCTATTGATGATGCTCACCCTTGAAGCTGAATTCTTCCAAACCATCTCCTTATGCTTATGTTGTACATTCAAAATTGTTTATAATGAATTAGCGAATTTATTAGTGTTCTATATAACGAATGAACTTAGAAGAATTTGCAAGTTCATCTTGCTGTGTATCATTCTTTTGCATCTAAAGACATATATATTTGTGCTTCATAAACGCAAAATATAATATTCCATCTAGTGACAATTAACAATTACATTTCTAAAAATAATTTATTTACCGATAAAAAAATTCATAAGTAGATATTAGTAATTAGAATATATTATAATAAATATATTATTTTAATAAAATGATATTTATTATGCTATACAATAAAATTAATGAAGCATTCCTTTATAAATTAGTTGAGAATTTCACTCACCAAATTCAAAAATATTGGGTATACATCAAAAAATGTACGTTTATGTTTATAAATATCCATTTATTAATCGAATCTAACCAACATTCATATTTTAAATTAAATCAAGGTTTGAAAATAGAGATTTAAGCGAAGTGGACTCTAATAGCGAAGAAAGTGGAGATGAATTGTCAATACAGTTTCAATCTGATGAATTTCGTACCGAAGCGCAAATTATTCATAAAAAATGTTTTGATTGCGGAAACTTTAGGACTAATTTTGCATGGTGTCACTCTTGTGAAACTACCTGGTTTAAGGAAAACTATTCAAAATGGACAACTGGCGATTTGCAGCTTGATTCAATTATAAAAAAAAGCCAAGCCGAAGCAGATATAAGTGGCGATTATTTTGAATATATTCCTTTCGATAAATTTGAACTGGTTGAGTTTCATAAAGCTGGAACATTTAGTGAAATTTATTCTGCCATTTGGTTAGAAGGACCTAAGTGGGATTGGAATGAAGACATTCAGGCTTGGTCGCGGGGTGGACCAATAAAAGTAGCGTTGAAAAAGCTTAAAAATTCTCAAAACTTGAGCGAACAATTCCTGGAAAAAGTAAATTGCTATTTTTATTTGATCAAAATAAATTATATGAATTATTGACAAAATATTTCCTTTTATTATTTTAGCTACGGAAATATCTACATTGTCTTCAATCGAGTAGTATGGCAGATACATTTGGCATTACGAAAGATCCAGACGGGTCTTTTATATTTGTAATGAGATTTTATGAGAATGGTGATCTTAATCAATACATCAAAAATAAGGACATTAACTGGAAAGATAAAATTGATTTATTATGGGGAATTACTGCTGGCTTGGAAAATCTTCATCGATCTGGTCTCTATCATGGAAATCTACACGGTGGGAATATAATGATTGAAGATGAATCAATCTCGAACAACGGAAGAATAGCTGATATAAGAGGAATTCATGGACCGGTTGATATTCCAACTGATAAAATATATGGTGTTCTTCCTTATATCGCACCGGAAATTCTTCTTGGAGCAAAACAATCAAAAGAAGCTGATATTTATAGTTTCGGCGCTATTATGTGGTCACTTGCAACTGGACAAAAACCATTTGCTGAGAGATCGCATGATGTCACTTTAGCGATGGATATTTGTAATGGGATTAGACTAAAGGAAATTGAAAATGCGCCGAAATGTTTTTCTGATTTGATGAAAAGATGTTGGGCATTTGATCCAAAATTAAGACCAACAGCATTCGAACTGAATGAAACATTTAGCGATTGGATAACTGATATATATGAAAATCCAGCACCGACTGAAATTGGCGAGGAATTTAATGACGCTGAAGAAAGAAGATGTGAGGCCTTTCAAACACAGACAAACATACCACAAGAAATTCATAAAGATGCGTGTTACACAAGTAGATTTTTTAACTTTCAACAACTCAAAAGATGCGCTTTACACAATTAACACCACCACTTAATAACAAACATTTAGTTACTATTTATAGTACATATAATTTATTTTGTTCAATTCAGTTAGATTATCGCTTTAGAATTACATTTACATGTACTTTAAAACTGACATTTAATTCTGCAACAAAATTTAAGTGATCAAAATTTCTGTTTTCTTTTTTAATTCATTTCTTTCTTCGTTTATTCATTTTATCCTCGTAATTACATTCTTCCGTTATTCAGTTTCATATTCATGTTATTCTTTAGTTCTCATCGTTAGTTATTTTGTTTTATATTATAAGTATCTCGTTTTATTCTTATATTCATGTTTCTTTCGTCATATAAAAATCTGGTTATATTCATTTCTCTGCTTTTATTTTGTTATTCTTTCCTCTTTCGGTCATGTATTCGCTCCATTCTCGTAATTATATATATTATGTTATTTCGTCATGTTTTTCGTTCTATTTTATATTCATTGTTCTATTCTTTTTGTATTTTATGTACATGTGTCTCGTTTATTCTTAGATTCCTATTATTCGTTCGTCATATGCATGTATTTCGTTCTGTTCTCATCAATTAGATAAAAAAATTTAGTTAGACTCATTTCTATTTAATTTTTTGTTATTTTTCCGGCTTTCATCATTATAATCATATCTATTATGTTTTTTCATCTCTATTCTTTCTTATGCTTTTTCATCATATATTTCGTTCTATTTTATATTCGTTTATGCTCTTCTGTCCTGTATTTTGTTCTGTCTCATTCATTTAGCAAGCTGAAATACTATATTCTTTTGACCTAGTCAAATTTCTTGAATTAACATAACAAGGCGTATAACATGATCATCCAATGAGAAAATAGGATCAGGCGCATCTGATTCATCACTTTCCTTCTCCCCATACATGTATAAATAACTCATTCTAAAAAACAGGTAATAAAAAACATTTTTCGGCAATTCCCTTATTTAAATATTTAATATAGCTAATAAATATTTAAATTGATAAAATAATTTAAAAAGTACAAGATTAAATTTGAAACAAGTATCCAAAAATAAAAATTGAACAATAATTCAAATATCAAGTATTATTTAACTTAGTGATATTTTATAACTAAAATTGCAAGTTGTGCTGTTTGTTTAATTAAAATCCGAGAAAATATTCGAACTACTTGCAATACAATTTTATTTGATATAAATTTAAGAAAAGGGTTGTTATAATAAAGATGGTAGCAGCCATTCAATTTAGAGACTCATCGCAAAGAGAATAATTAAAGGATTGAGAATCTGTGAGAAGTTTACTGGATATCTATTCTCCTATTCGTCTATTTTTTGTAGTACCGTACGCCGCTGACTAAAAGACCCGGGGTACTTAACATTATATAATTATAGATCATATATAAAATTTTAATGATCGTATACACGTCAAAAAAACGCGTTTCTTCTAACACAAATTAAAAATGGTTCGTGCAAATAAACCAAGCAAAAGAGCAAGGTCTAGTCAGAAATTGCGTCAATCTTGGTGTGCCAGAGAAAAATTAATGATTATTCATAATCTTGAACAAAAGAAAAGTATTTGTCAAACAGCAAAAAGATTCAATATTGAACCGAAGCAAGTACGTGACTGGAAACAAAAAACAGCAATTAAAGTCTGTGGCACCACATATTTTGAAGCTTCACAAAGGAAAGCCAGCTACATATCCAGAGCTAGAAGTATTCTTAGCTGAATGGATTCGTACAATGTGTGCTTCTGGAAAGGCAGTCCAAAGAAAAACAGTAATTAGAAAAGCTATATCTCTTGCAATAATAAATCAATGGAAAGATCTTTATCCTCAAATCCAAGAGTTCAGATTTTCGGAAAAGTGGCTTGATGCCTTTATGGTTCACCATAATTTGTCTACATGATTGATGCACTACTATTGCCCAACATATTCCTGCTGATTTAATTGAAAAACAACAAATTTTTCTAAGCTTTGCCCTTTATCGTCAAATCCAACATGACTATCCCTTGAAGTTTATTGGTAATATAGATGAAACTCCATATACATTTGATTTTCCAGCCACAATAACAATTAACCAAAAAGGAGCCAAGACTGTAAGTATTTGGACAACTGGAAATGAAAAAAAATTTTACAGTGATTTTAGCTTGTATGGCAAATGGTTCTAAGCTGTCATCTTAATGCATTTTCAAATTACAAAAGATTTCACAAGAAACATTTTCTAAGAGAGTTTTTGTTTGAGCTAATGCAAAAGGATGGATGAATGAAGCGGAAATGCTATGGTAGATCAAAAATGTATGGACTAAAAGAAATCCATATGAAAATTCATGATCTCTTGTTCTGAATTTCTTTAAAGAACATCTTGTGAATAATGTAAAATGTTGTTTTATTGAGAAATATTTTAAAGTCAAGATATATTTATTTTTTACTATATTGATATATATTATTATAATATTAATCAATTATTTTTAAGATGTATAAAATATATAATAACTGGATATTACAAGAAGTATATCAACTTATTGCTATCAGCCAAATTCAAAAATTATTCTATACTAAGTAAATTAAAACTACATAAGATGCTATTAATCTTGAATTAATTATATGTGTATTCAAATATTATAAAATTTCAATTAAAATAGATAGTTCAGAAGATAATTTATTATTTAATTATAATTAAATAAGCTAAAATATAAATAAAAAATTATATAATGATAAATATTATTGAAAAGAAAGAAGAAATATGAATTTAAATTATAATTTAAAGAATAAGATATATTAAAATAATTAGAATGATAAAATAGATAAAAGTCTATTTCAAATTTTTAAT